GTGCAACGTCACTAATTTATATGATAAGTGACGTCATAGGCATATTTCATAGCGTATTGTATCTCCGTCAATTTTTGACTAAGAAGAAAAAGAAAAAACACATGTTGCCTTATTTTTCACGGACTAACGAAATCAGCAATAAAAAAAATTGATGCAAGTACCCTATTGTGAAATCAAAACCTAATTTTTTTATTGATATTCAAATCAATTTAATGTCGTTTGTAACTGAAAACAACCCCATTAAGCTGTTTAATGTTTATTCCATTAAGATTACAATTAGTATTCAATTTAATATCGTTTGTAACTAAAAACAACACCATTAAGCTGTTTAATGTTTATTTCATTAGGATTACGATTAGTATTTAGGAAGCAGGAACCAACATGAAAACACACTAGAGTTAGAACCTTCGTAGCGAGTAAGAGTTTTGTACCATAACAACAATAAAGATATTTCTCCCAGACAAAAGTAAATGTTATTTTGAAGTTATTAAAACTCAAAGTTGTGACAGTGATCACAACATTGGTGACCGGATCACAACATTGGTGGCAGCGGATCACAACAAAACTCAAATTTAAAGAGCACATATATAACACTTTGTTTAAAAAGAACACATTCAGTTTTGAGGGGTTTATACTCTCATAGACACTATCTTTGTCAAAAAACTAAAACTTTACTTTGCGACTCTTTAATTCTCTCGCATTTTAATTTTTGCGATCACCTATATGGGCCTTTTTTGGATTCGATAGATGTTAGGAGAGTTCAAAAGGTCCAGAACTCTTGCATTAGGTTTGCATGTGGAATAAGACGAAGAGACCGAGTTTCACACAAGCTGAATGAATTGGGCTGGTTAAGTATGTTTAACAGGCGCAGTCTCTCACTATTACCAAGTCTATGCTTCCGTTTTGAACCGCTAAAGCGTTTTCGAACTTAAAACGTTTTATCCTGTGTTTATAATTAATTCTATGGGGCTTTCCCCAAAGCAGTTTATGTTATAACAGTGCTGGCACTCCCTTAAAACGGTTTGAGATGTTTACGCAGTATTTCAACCGTTTTGAATTTGGTTAAAACACGTTTCCAAACGTTTTAAACCAACACGGTTTAACGAGATAAAACGGTTTATGGGGTGTTTATACAAGCGTTTTATAGTGAAAAGTTTTCTGTTAAAACGGTTTAACGGGAAGCATAAACATGGTATATGTTTCTTTTATAAATTAATAAAATTTAAGACTTCACCACCTACACAATAAAATCAAATATTGAACTGACATTCATAATTTAAACATTCGCAGAAAACAGCTTTTAACAATACCTTCTCACAACAAAGAATTTTTCAAAAAGTCATTTAGCGATACCATTGCCTCACTCATTAACAAATATGAAATAATCGATTTTTCTACATCTGTTGGTGTTTTTAAAAAAAAGAATGAAATTAAAGCTAATTTAAAATATAATATATTATATTTCCTGGCTCTAGATAAATCGCCCTTAATTTCCTGCACATAAATGATTGGGTACCTACATCATAAAGTTCGTATCTTTCTTCTTCTGCTTTTGAGTTTAACACTGCGTTAGTGCGACAGCACTCTTACGCAATTTTGGGTGAGTCTACTTACTGCCATGTGTTGTGTTTTCAGTTAATTTTTGTTCAGGGAAAGGGAGGGGAGTGGGGAAAGGATAGGAAGCAAGGTAAAGGACGGAAGGGGATTTCATTCACTAGAAAAGAAGTGGAGCTCTTAAATTTCTGAACATAGTTCTGTCAGGGTTAATAGTATAGTTATCGTCAAATAAAGATTTAATTATGTCATTTGTATGGTTAGTTACTTTGTCAAGAAACCGCGTATGTTTCTCAACAAGGTACTCCTGGATGGTATCAACGCTCAGGTCTGTATGTAGGTCCGCATTGCGGACATACCACGGAGCGCCGACCCATCCTGCGTATTACCTTGTTTTGAAACACCTGCAGTTTCTTTTTATTTTGACGTGTTGTCTGTGAAAAAACTGTTGTACCGTAAAGTAATGTAGGTCGGATAACTTGTTTGTATAGTAATAGTTTGTTTTTTAGAGTTAGTTTACTGTCCTTGTTAAGTAATGGATAAAGCAATCCCACTAATCTGTTGCATTTATTCAGTTTATGATAAATGTGGGGGGTCCAAGAAAGTTTACTGTCCAGTAATAGTCCTAGATATTTAATTTGATTTGTCCATGTAATTTCGGAATCTTCTAGTATGAGAATGTCAATATGCTTGTCACGTTTGTTGGAGATCAGGACGGCTTGGGTCTTATCGATGTTAATTTTAATTTTCCATAATTTTGCCCAGTCAATTATGGAGTCAAGATGATTTTGTAGTCGTCTATGTATGTGATGTAAGTACTTTTGTGAAGTGTAAATACAAGTGTCATCTGCGTAGATGGACATTTTAGAATGGGGATTAATGGGGATGTCAGCCGTGTAGAGATTATAGAGCAGTGGAGCCAGGACAGAACCTTGAGGAACTCCCGCTTCTATAGGTCTGACGTTTGAGAAAGTATCTTTGTTGAGTTTGACACGGAAACTTCTGGCTTTAAAAAATTCGTATCTGTTTTTATATCATTCTCCGCTCTAGTATATATATTATTCTCCAAAACTGTCCTCTTTTTCTTTTCTTTTCTTCTTTTCTTTATTTTTCCACCTCCTTCTTCTCTTTCTTCGTCTTACAGTTTAAGTATCAAGTGCGTTACTTGATTTTTATTCTTAGATTTTAGATAAGCCTTTCTTTATATTTTATTTTAAGTAATTTTTTGCGGCCTCAACAGCACTCATGCTTGCGTGGGATGCTGCAAATATGACCTATTATTTCCCACATTTATCTTAATTACCTGTTTGCAATGTAATTTTTCTGGAGATAATAAATTATTATTATCGGGGATAATACCACGAGTGCTTCAAAATTACCGATAATTTTTCACGATTGCGTGTTTTCTATAATTTCACGAGTCCGTAGGACGAGTGAAATTTGCAGAGAAAACACGCATGAGTGAAAAATTATCTGGTTCATTTTAGAGCTCAAGTGGTATTTAGAGGATTATTTCACGTATGAGAATGCAAAAAATATGGAAATAAATCGGTATTAAACGATTTGAACATCTTAACAATCAATACAAATAAATGGTTGCTATAAGGAACCGTTTGTTTGTATCAAAAATTAGCATGACAACCATGTATACAATAACATGGGAGAATTATCGCTGTAATTCTCTCTAGTTAAACAAATGGAAAAGAGAATTTTCTCTGTTATTCTGAAAATTGTCACTTGTCTTCTGGGATTTCTAACACATGAGTGGAATAATCGGGGATAATACCACGAGAGCTTCAAAATTACCGATAATTTTTCACGATTGCGTGTTTTCTTTAATTTGCAGAGAAAACACGCATGAGTGAAAAATTATCTGGTTCATTTTAAAGCTCAAGTGGTATTTAGAGGATTATTTCACGTATGAGAATGCAAAAAATATGGAAACAAATATGTATTAAAGGATTTGAACATCTTAACAATCAATACAAATAAATGGTTGCTATCAGGAACCGTTTGTTTGTATCAAAAATTAGCATGACAACCATGTATACAATAACATGGGAGAATTATCGCTGTAATTCTCTCTAGTTAAACAAATGGAAAAGAGAATTTTCGCTGTAATTCTGAAAATCGTCACTTGTCTTCATGGGCGCCCGGAGGGGGGGGCAGGGGGGGGCATCTGCCCCCCCCTGGCTTTTAATATAAATACTTAAAAATAAAAGAGAAAAAAATAAATAAAAATAATTAGGTATTTTACCTATAGTATTTCTAATGCCCATTTAGAATAACCCCATCCTTATTTATCAATCACGAATCAGATGAAACAAAAAATTACCAACAAAAACGAATGTCGATTACTAATACGTCAAATTCATGTACAAATAGGAAATTCCTAACCTAATTTTATTTGTATGTTCAAGAAGTGACATACGTTTTGTTACTAGAACGACTGGTACTTCTAAATAGGTATTAAAAATACTATATTTCCATTTTTATTTTTTTTGATAACAACTATTTGTTTTTTTGTTAAATTTGGGGTATATGATTCCAAAAATCCAACTGACAACGTAAACGTAAACGTCGTCAGAAAACGGGTGTTTGTTTTAGTTTTGATTACAATTTTTTTAAATTTTTTTTCCCACAAAGAAATAGTACATTAATATACAAGTTTCATAAGACGTCATTTTATCGCACGAGCCGGAGGCGAGTTTTCTAAAGGGCGAGTGCGATAAAATGTCTTATGAAACGAATATTTTATACTATTTTTTCTATTTTGGTTGTTTAATTAAAAAAAAAAACTTTTCTTGGAAATTTCATTCTCATATTTCCTGATTTCATATGTTTAGGTTGGTAACACTGCAAGCCAAATATAGAAATCTTCTACTATTTTTTATCGCGAATGACAGTACGATGGCCATCAGTCAGCCAGTGTTACCAACCTCCGATAAGTAAAAAAGGAGTGTCACAAAGAGCTTCTTTTCGAAACTACTTTTAGTGTCGAAAAGACTTCGATATGACACCAAAATAGAAAAAGTAATTTGTGCACCTATCAAAAGATACAGAGAATTAACTTTTTTTCCCGTCCGAAATAAAAGTATTTCCAAATTGTTTTATTTTTTAATGTTTATTATATTAGTTACAATTAGCAAAATTTGGGTGTGGCCCAAAAAAAAAATTTCCGCCTGCGGTGCGCTTTACACGATTCCCCCAAGAGCAGTTTATTTGCCCCCCCCCTGCGACAAATTCTGCGGGCGCCGTTGCTTGTCTTATGGGATTTCTAACACATAAGTGGAATAATCATTATTATTATTATTTACATAGATTCTAACCAGACCGCCGCCGGGAATGTTATTTATTTTTTTACTGTATTTACACCTACAGCTTCACTCCTATTTACTTCTGCTGTCCACCAACAATGCCAAATCACGTTATTCAGTAACCAAAACAAACCAAAGCTATTCTTCATATGCAGGGTTTATTTATTACAAAAAAAGTATATACAGTTAATTTTTCTAGGCAGATGGCTTGTCATCAGTCGTTGTCACGCCAGAAGCTTGCGATGTTGTATCGTCCTGGTGATGCGGCGTTTGGTCACCACCGCAAACCAACGATGGAAATTTCTTTTGGAGAGCTTGCCTGTATTTGGGATGGCTGTAATAAAAATTCATCAAACCACTAAACGGCATTTGTAAGGAAAGAAAAAGTATACCTTATTCCATATACAATAGGATTGTAGACAGCATTAGCTTTAGCAAACAATGAGGCCCATATAGTTCCCAAAGGTGTTATTTGATTTTCACCAAATATACCTACAAAATTTGTGACCAGATACGGCGTCCAGGCTAAAAACCAAAGGGAAATAGTCATGAGGGCGATTTTCGCTAGTTTACATTCAGCGCTCGTCTGAGTCGCTTCTGAAGATCTCAACGAGGCCACGTTCATTTTTTTGGCTTGTTCGCGCATTGATTTTTCGTGTGCAGAAACCGCCTTGAAAAGAAAAACAAAATGAACGTATAGGTTCCACTTATCGCGATGCTTATAGTAAAGTCTAGGGGTTGGCCGACTTTCTTCTGGTAACGATTATAAACAAACACCCAGATAATCACTAATTAGTGAATCATCCTCTCTCAAAAGAAGGAAAAAATATTCTCAGAATACATGAATCATAATCTAGTGAATTATGCTGAAAAATGTCTGCTATATTCGTAAGGAGAAGCCGGACAACACTTAGAGTCGACTTCGCATGATGCAAGATAATCTTCGAATGTACTAACCTGCACAATAAACCAATACGAATAAATGATGGTCAATAAAGGCGTCAAGTAAACAAAGGTAGCGTATACGACAACGTAACTAGCGCTGCGCCAGTCTTTGTTCACATAGTCCAAGCCGCAAGCTGTCATATTTCCTTCTGGAACATACCTATAAATGCCATAACAGTGTTAGCAGTAATAACAAACCCACATTGATAGAAATATTTTTTTAACAATTAAAATCGATTGTGTTATGTATCAGTTTTTAATCGGGTAAATGTAATCGGCGATAAATAAGAAAGTTCATTGATAAACGGTGCATCTTCGAAAATACGATTCTATACCTACATCCATACTGCAAGTGCCCTGTCTGCCAACACAACAAATTATAGTTCTCTCAAGCCCGCATGGTTCTCTAGTAGGTACTACAACCTTTTCCGCAAACTTCTCAACGATGACGCCTTAAAGAAAAATAAATCCGATTCAATAAAATTTGCTGGATTCCAGGAACACCCATTATCATGATCTGCAAATAGAAAAATTCAGCTGTCAACTGCTATGCAACAAAATCTGGAACTAGTGGGAGCCTTCTTTGGGATATACATTTGAGCTGCAGCTTCAAGGGCGTTCTAAAACAATTAAGTGCTCCTATGGAGACATCTCGAAGGTGTTTTATAGAAGCGTTGGAAAACAGAATCCGAAGCCAGAATAAAAGTTTTCGACTTCATCGATGAAAGTATTGTCATATTCCTCCATAATATCATGACATTGTACCTTTTACGACTCTCGAATACTTTCCCAAATAATGTCTCGCCGTCGCCGAAAGAAATACTATTATATGACCCAGACTTTCTGTTAAAGAACCCAAAGATATTGTATGTAAATAAATTAAACATTTGTCCACCATAAACCCCAAAATTCCCAAATAATGTCTCGCCGTCGCCGAAAGCAATATTATTATATGACCCAGACTTTCTGTTAAAGAACCCAAAGATATTGTATGTAAATAAATTAAACATTTGTCCACCATAAACCCCAAAATTCCCAAATATCCTTAATGGTCATTCTTTGGGCGAACAGACTGTCATTTATTGCCAATATTTATTTAGGGTTTTCCAGTTGTAATTATGTAGGTTTTAGAAACGTTTTAGAAGGGATGTAAAGGTCGATTTGTAAGAGATCTAGTGAAGCAAGAAGACAGTCTTAAGACAGCTTCAGTCGTAGTAACACATTTTGTTAAAACTCTCTCTAAAATAAGTCTTACTTTTGCTGTAGTTCAATTTCATTCTATATTCCATTACCTAATAAAGCTACAAGTTTCAAACCAAAAACAAAAGTAGTTTTAACCAAGGCAAAACACTGAAGGATCACAACAGTATGTGATATTAATCCTTTTCAGATCAAACTACCCTTTTTGATGGTCAGAGTTATTTTCTTGGAAGTGGTTCTTGAAAACAAAGGTCACAGATTGAAAACATACAGTACATACCTTAAAACTTATGTTCGAGGAGCATTCAGCGCTGCATCTTCAAATTTCAGACATCTACTGTCACAGCGCATAGCAAGGTTAGAATGATCGGTACAGCCACGAAAACTTATCTCATAATAAATAGACATAATTTTGGATAGTCTGGCAATTCAGTTTTAATCAGCTTCAGAAGAAAATTACATGACATCATCGAATGTATAAAAACTTGAAATGGGATTCCGAAAGAAATAAAGTATGTAATTAATCACTGAAAGAGCCCAATAAAACACAAGATTTTGCCGATATCAAAAGATTATTGCAAGCGAGATTTCAATCATTTCAGCCGTACAACATGTACTTCCATATATCTGGGTTCCTAATCTGCAAGCATAGTAACCAACCAATGTTCACGTAGAATTTCACGTACCGCAGTATAAAAAGTAGATAATTACCCATGAAGCCCGCAACCATCAAACTAACCAAGCGAATCAAGATATCGGTCTTTTTGCGAAATAATCCCAAGCAGTAGCAGAATGGGGGATGGACAAAAATCCATCCAAGATTTCCAAGCAATTTCGGATAGATAGGTACCATATTCCTTAGTGTAAAAACATAGTGAAGTCGATCTCGCCGCACGGCCAGAATACGGAATTCGGCTGAATACTTCTCAGAAATACTGTACTTAACAAAGATAAAAGGCTAGTGCCCTTAACAATGAATACTGCTATGCTATTAAATAAAATTACTAGCTTACTACATTTTGGGAATTAGAAAAAATCCAAAGATGACCAGTTATGTGAAGGACACGGATGCTCTAAATACGACCAGGGGCCTTATTCTGTAAGAACGAACCGTTCGATTCGGTAGAATTTCTTCGATTGTGACGTCATTTTTGGTTTGGTTTTCGCGCTACCAAACCGAAAATGACGTCACAATCGAAGAAATTCTACCGAATCGAACGGTTCGTTTTTTACAGAATAAGGCCCCAGGGGTCGTATTTTCGAATTCATTCGAGTACATTTCGTATACGAAATTTGATTGACAGCAATGTAAATTAAATGGGGAGTATTCGAAAGCGAATCAAATTTCGTATGCGAGAATATTCGAAAATACGACCCCAGAAGTAGGTATAGACTGCACAGTTTACTGCAACTATCCGGATACCCTTCAATGACGAGGAAGAAACTCTTGGACTCGTACATTTAGAGAAAAAGTTCTCAAGAGACTATAGAATAGACTCACAAACGATTTGTGCTAGAATCTTGTATACAGTGAGCACGTAAAGGTTGGAATAAAATCTATAAAATATACAGGGTGGATATTTTTCAAAAAACCTCGGACACGTCAATTTTTGATTTTAGTGGCCGTTTTTGTGATGATAATACCGTGTATACAGGATGACTCAAAAACAAGTTATGACAGGTAACTTTGAATGAAAACGCCAATTTTTTATTTCATTTTAAAATTCTACGTTAAATTCTGAATCTATTTCATGTATCATGTCCTATACCTATCTTCAACTGTTTCGGAAATATTGACAGTTGAAAATTGACTTTTTTGCAACTTTGACAGGCTGTAGAACCTAAACGGTTAATTTTTTAGCAAAACCGATCATGCATTCTTGTCTTAGTTTAAACCATAAACTCTTATTTGACATCAACTTTGAAGTTAACCGGAGATTAAATTTAGCCGGAATTTGTAACCATGGATTAAATTCAAAGTTGGTGTCAAATGATAGTTTATGGAAAAATAAGGCAAGAATGTTAATCGGCTTTGCTCTAAAAATAACCGTTTAGGTTTTACAGCCTCTCAAAGTTGCAAAAAGTCAATTTTCAACTGTCAATATTTCCGAAACAGTTGAAGATAGGTATAGGACATAATACATGAAATATGTTCAGAATTTGACGAAAAATTTGAAAATTAAATAAAAAATTGGTATTTTCTTTTAAAAAAATAAAGTTAGCTGTCATAACTTGTTTTTGGGTCACCCTGTACATAGGGTATCATCATCAAAAAAACAGCCAATAAAATCAAGATTGACGTGTCCGAAGTTTTTTGAAAAATATCCACCCTGTATATTTTATAGATTTTATTCCAACCTTTACGTGCTCACTGCATATGGAGATCTGCTTCGAGGAATCACCAGATCCGTTGAAATTCGATACGACATACAATACATTCCTCATCATCGTGTTTTAAACTGATTCAAGTTCATTGACCAAGTTAAGGGGTGTGACCCAAAAATTAAAGTTTTAGAGCAAAAAAATCTAAGAATAAATATTTAAACCGCATCTTGTTACGATGGTACGTTTTCGAGTTAGGGCGGTTTGAAGTTACAGCTAGGTGTTTGTGACGTCACACTGGATTATCAGGAACAGTATTAACACGTGTAAAAATTTTCCAAAAGAAAAGAGCGAATTGCAACCATTCAAAGTATAGGGTACGGTTCACTGACGACTGAACGAACAGAAGACTGCGTTTTCGGCTGTTGTGACATCACAATTTCCTGCATAATTTATCTTCACAAGGAATTTTTTCGGAGACCATTTTGAATATAGGACTGCGGTTTTCACGAGAGATCTTAAAATTTTTTCTTGATTTAAGTAGCTTAAGTCGTTGAGAAGTGTTTGACACATCTTGCAAGGCTTCTTCTGTGCTTAAATTACAGCAAGAATTGTCTTTTGGAGATCTCATCAAGTAGAGTAACACAGCAGATATTGAGAAAATTTATGGGCGAGATTACTTGCGTCAATTCAGTTCACTTGCGTCAGATTCAACGCAATATTTATGATCAACTTTTCCTTCTTATTTTTGCACTTCAAAGCAATAAATACCTGTTCCATCCGAGCAAGGGCGCAATCGTCCAAAGTACCGCCAAAGTCCAAATCATCAGTATCCGCAACATGGCGGTCTTTTTGGTAAGCGGTGTGGCGCTCAAACCCTTAACTATAACGTTGTATCGGTCCAGTGCTATATAAACCATCGTCCAAATGGCACCTCCGCCGAACAGGGAGCCAGACAAACCGTAAAGTTCACAGCCCAAAGTACCTAAAATTCAGATATTGGTTTGTTACACCTTTGACACGTAATTGATACAATAATGCGAGGCTACTGAAATTTTTTTGGGTTTCTACGGATTGGGTAGATTCTTAGGAATGAACAATTCCAACAAACTTGAACGAGCAACGAACGCTCGGCGCGCAGGTTTATACGCACCCTTACGTGCAATGAGTTTATTTTATACGGGCATGGAACCTTTAATTATGATTTTTTATATTACGCATGCATCATAATCAACGATTATCGCACGCTGCAGCGTGTATAAAATGATGTTTATGATGCGCCTACCTTTTCAAAGTTTTGCTATAGAAACGTTTGATCTACCTTCATTACCTAGATATAAACCTGCCGTTTAAATTACTATTCATCAAAATGAATGAACACATTTAAAACATTTTTGAGATTATGATGCATTTGTAATATGATATGCGTGTATAAGAGGCCTTTAAAGCCCTTGCGACTTACAAAACACTCCGCTGCGCGTCGTGTTTTGAAATATGTCGCGCGTGCTTTAAAGGCTCTCTTATACACTTATATCATAATATACTATTATAAATCACTTACCTAAGACCCAAGTTTCATAATAACAATTTATTACCATGGGAACTGATTGGCTGCAACAACTGCCGAAATCGGAAAATGCAAGGTTCACTACCAGAAGGTTGGATGGCGTTCTTAAACCTGGGGTACTCAGGAATATGTACATGACCTAAAACCAACGACAAAAAAATACAATGGGTAATCCAAACCGTGTGACCAATGACGAACAGAACATGCATATTGCTCATCATCAGCAGACACCTCTAACATGGTGTCCGATAAATAGAACAAACTATGAATAGATCGGGATGAAAATACGAATTTAAATGGTTTGGAATCGAGCGGTTCTATTCAAGGAACAAACATGCAGCTGAAAGAGAATGATGAAGCAGGAGTTCATTCTTCTACAACTATTCCGATTACCACTGAATTTCAGCAAGATGATTATCAACTTGAAATAACTACAGATATAAATGATGAATGGGATCATGATGAAGCTTAAGTGAATAATAATCAAGAAGATCTTGGGTTTCATGTATCATCAGGATGAAGAGTATGTAGCTAATGTAGCAGTAATACGTGATTTTGTCATATAAGTAAAAAATTATATAACGCGTGTTCTTGCTGTACCCTGATGGCCTGATGCAAAAATGTGTGAGACAGATATATCAACTTCGCATAAGTCTATCGCTCAGCCTGGTTTGGTCTAGTGCGCATGCGTTGAATGCAGTGAGGTGATTGGTGAGTTGTAAGCATGGTTTTCAGACGATCGATAATCTCGTTTTCGTAGTGGACGGACGATGCTCGACGACCAATGAGTGCTGTGTAATTATAGGCATGCGTAGATTTGACGGGCCGAACTACAAGATAGACTTATGCAGAAATGATATTTCCATCTCACTCATTTTTGCATCAAATGCCTCTCATTGCGTAAATGGAGTACACGCCTTATATAATTTTTTACTTAATGTCTGTTTTTTTTTTTAAAGATAAAAGTCAAACTGACATTATGTTGGCAATACAATGTAAAATTGTCAATGCTTTCAAATTTTTTATGTAGAAAAGGCTTGTGTTGCCAACATAGTTACTAAATTTTTGACTTGGGGAATTATCTTTAAAAAAAAAACAGACTTTATATGGATTTTATAGCCATATCCGTCATTTTACCAAATGTCTAATGTCTAACCACATTAAGAACGCAGCGACATTGTGAACGCAGCTACATTGTGTAATCGTTTATTTTTAATTATAGATGGGTTCGGCTATTCAGCGCGAAGTTGGAGTGGAGTGGAGTGGAGTGAACAGAGCTAATGGAGTCACCCCTAATACGGGAAAAAGCAATACCCGAACCTTAATCCGAACGGCTGGAGTGCGAATGGAGTCACTCGGAGTGCACGGAGTGAACAAGCCGAACCCACCTTATGTTACACTGTGGCTGACAGTGAGATATGCCGGAATTCAATGTGGACAAGGCGAGTACCTACTTGAATGTCTAAAAACACTAGCCACAGCAATGTAAGAAATTTGCATTACCATGCCATTTCCTATAATGGACACCAATCCCAAAGCTCCAATAACAAAACCCAAAATCCCATGCCACAATGGATTCATTGGGGCGAATTGATACCAATAAGAATCTACCATATGAAGTATTTCTGGTGGTACTTTGTCGACAACGGTTAGATTACCTAAAACAAAATGAAAAATAAGTTGCTGATGTGTCTTCATCATAACAAAGGGCTGCAAAAAAAATTAAAAAACTAAGCATAGATTTTTAATTTTGGGTATTTGAAAACGTTCTTAAGCTCCCGTTCTATTTAGTTATACGTCCTTAATCAGCAATCGTGAGCGAGTGTTTCCTATTGTAGGTAAGACAATTTTTTTACTTAGGGCTGAGGAGACTTTTTTGTTCTCTCTAGACTCTCTACGACCATTTAAATAAAAAGTTGCACTGAGAACATTCACTCCTACAGGCTTCGAGCTGTTAGGCTCCTTCTCGCTTAAATAATAAGAGTTTCTTTCTACAGAATTCTGTGTCGTAGATATATGTAGAAGGCTAAGGCCTAAATGTTTGAAACCTCCCTCTGATGTGTGGAGTATTGGAATGTTTTTAATCCCGTCGTTTCGACCTTCTTGGGCTACTTGATAAAAATTATTACCGCACTATTGATTGAAGAAAAGCGTTTTCACTATACCACTTGTTATGTTCTTTGCATTATTCAATAAAAGTGGACTGTATTAAATGCCCGATGAGGCCTGTGCATAATTTTTGAACCGACAAGACAAGAAATGGTGAGATGACAAAATGGCCGCCACTCACCTTTTTTGTTGCGCGTACCCGCTTCACGATGTGTTTGTCGACTGACTCTCCGCTCTGAATGGGTCCTCTTCTTCAATGCATGCGCTTTACCCTTTCCATTCGTGACGTAACTGACATCCCAATGACTTTTTGAAAAGCGCGGTGGATTTAAATGTATTTATCTACGCCAGTGAGTTAAGAAGCTCTTAACTCACGCATTTCGAGTGAGTTAAGAGCTTCTTAACTCACGAATTTTCATTACCACACCCAGTGAGTTAAGAAGCTCTTAACTCACGCATTTTGAGTGAGTTAAGAGCTTCTTAACTCATGCATTTTCATTACCGTACTGTTTCTTAGGTTTTTGAAACTATAGTGACAATATTATTTACTATCAAATTGATACGAAACCATGCATGGTGTTATCGTGTTTTCATGTTAATTTGGTCAAATTTATATTGTTATTTGAACAAAAGGTATTGAGGTGATTCTGATTCAGGTAGCTGGTTTTTAGAATAGGTAATACAATTATTATTGAAATTAATTTTTTTTGTGTTTTTAAAGTCAAGAGCTTATGGCGTAGATAAAATATTGTACAATACACGTGAGTTAACCCTCATTAAGATACTTGTGTGGTTACACCACCCGTGCTACGCACTCGTTGTGCAACTTCCACACGCGTAGGTATCTTAATGATGCTGTTAACTCACTTGTATCGTAAATATCTATTACAGTTTGTGTACTATTTTATAATGAATTGAATTTACGCACTATGTACATAACACCACTAACGAGACGACTCATGCGGCTAAAAGATTTGAATGCTTTATTTGGAACTGTAGATTGCATTTGGAGCACTGATCTCAAAAATAAATGGATAAACAAAGAACGCTTCTAATGCTGCTAATTTACGAGGTCATAATGTAAACAGAAACAACTGACTGGGACAGCTGTGAGCGTGCGCAGAAGATACATGTACTGTGCGTGGACAGAATCTGGCGAATGAAAACGAAGGAATTTCAAAATTTAGAACAGTTGTTCGAAAGATAAGACACTGCACAGGCGTTAGGCTGTTCCGTTGCACAACTGTTCATAGAATATTGACTCCAAATTTTCGCACAAGTTTAGCCAATCGAGCCGTACGATTGTTTATCCATTTATTTTTTAGATCAGTGATTTGGAGTCGTTACAGATTGTTTCAGCCGTTCAAGCACTGCTACCTTTCCAAGATATTTTGTGCGGTACTCTGCTTCTAGTTGGTGTCCAAGATTTGTAGGCTTCTCTCAAAGGAAGCCAGCTTCCTGGGAGGTAAAACGCCTACCTCTTGGGGTGTTAGGCGTACCCCTTCAAGGTATTTCAGCCTTTTGCAAAAGTGAGCAGGGTATTCACAGATAAATGTTCTGTAGTTTATTTTGCTTGTTCGCACAAAAAGGCTCTGGGCCTTGAAAGGGTGTTAAAGCGCCTAGGCTTTTGCGAGACGGTCTACCTCCTCGTTGCCCTCTATGCCCTGGTACCCACATCAGGTTCACTTTGTTCCTTTCAGCCAGTTGCTTAAGGATATTTTTACCCTCCCAAACTAGCTGCGAATTTTACTTGATGGCTCCTAGAGCCTTTAGAGCCGCTTGACTGTCGGACAGTATGTAAATTTAGAAGAAAAAAAAATTAAAAGGCCTATTTTAAGGTCTAGATGTTTATGGCCAGTACCTCAGCTTGAAATATTGTGGGCGTTGTACTTATTAGTGATGAGCAAATGCAAGACCAAGACCAAGACCGGGCTAGTCTTGGTCTTGCATATGCAGTCTTGGTCTTGGTCTTGCAGTCTAATAAGCGGTCTTGGTCTTGGTCTTGCAGGGTCCAGTATTGGTCTTGGTCTTGGTCTTGCAGCAAGACTCTTGCAAGTCTTGCATTTATTTGGTAGATTTTTACTGAAGGGAATTTTAACAAAGAAAATTAAAAAAAAAAAACTTTTTCCATGCCACTTGAAGTAAGTACATGTTTAAAGAAAGGGAGAGTATATGCCAGTATCAAAATTTTGGCTTTTCAATATTGAGTACCTCTACCACAGCAGCAAATTTTCACAGGTACTAAAATTAGGCAATTTTTTCAAGTAAAATATGCTCAACGAAACATTGGGAGTTAAGGGATCACTTATTTAAGTTTGTCCCTGTAATATTGAAACATCTTTATTTGTATTTACCAGTGGCGCACCCAGAGAATATGTTTGGGGGGCTCCTACATATAGGATATGGATTGTGTTTAAAAATCTAAACAAAAAATTGAGGTGTCTGGGTGCCACGTCCTGATGTTGCCACATTTTTTTATAGTACGTAAAAATACACTGAAATTTACAATTAATTGCGGACGGCGCTAACACAAGAACCATTTTATTTAAACGAGCATTTCATTTGATTTTTTTATGCCTATTGATAATTGAGTTGAAATGTAAGTAGGTATCTATCTATTTTCTTGATAATCTCATGCAGCTATTCTTTTAATAGTATATCTAAGTCACTGAGGGCCCGTTACAAATTATGATTGCTCAATGAAAAAAGTGTACATCAGTTTTATGCATTTCTCAGCAAATGAAAAATTTTATGGACAGAGAAATCTTTCACTTTTAAACACCAATTCGATTTACATTGGAAATTTATATATGTTTGATAATTGTGTTTGTGGGAATTCTTTATATTCTCCGAAGTTTTAGGATAGGTGGATAGGGTAGGCCCCAACACCAGTAACAGAGCCTATGACAATATTTAGATATGTTATATTCAACTACAAACAACTATATCAAATACATACTAAATTTTAGTAATATTCAGAAAAAAAATGGAACAAAAATGCAAGACCGCAAGACTCTCTTGCATGCTCGGTCTTGGTCTTGCGTAAGTCTTGCAATGCTAAGTCTTGGTCTTGCATAAGTTTTGCACTGCTCGGTCTTGGTCTTGAAGTTTAATAGTGGTCTTGGTCTTGTTCTTGCATTTTCTGCAAGACCAAGACCAAGACCGCAAGACCAAGACCAGTCTCGCTCATCTCTAGTACCCATTGCCATTGGTGAGGAGAGTTTAAAGTTTGGTCCCGTTATTACAAGGCCGACTACTTCCGTTAGCTTCGAACCATCTGTGTACCACAATGATGCGTTGTGCGCTTTCGTTAGCTTCCAATACAGTGATGTTATCATAATGATATGTTGATTCACTTTGGAACACTTTATATACTAAAGGATGAATGAGTAACCATTCAGATCACCAGGTTTAAATCTATTTGTCTGGAATAGCCTATAGGCATATATTCTTGCCTGTTTTCTCACATATAGGTGAAGAGGAGGCATGTTCAGCAGTGCCTCTGCGGTTGGATAGGTTCACAAAGCCCCTTTTATTCCTAGACAGATTAGCCTTTTTACTTTACATAGACTGTTCTGTGCTCAGTCTTTGGCTATCATACCAACGAGGCTACCTTCTTTCCGGCAACGGAACTAGGGTTGTTTTGCTGGGATTTATGAAGTCCTTCTCCCTCGTTCCACTTTTTGATTATATTCAAGGCACTTTGCTTTCGGTCTGTTATATTATATATTCATGCTTGCCTCTGAATATTACCCCCAAATCATCTGCGTAGCCACGGACAGTTATTCCGACGTTACTTCTGGTAAGAATGCAGTCCATAGAAAAGGCGAAAGGACACTACCATTACCTTGTCAGCAGCCTTCAACCGAGGTGACAGTGACTATTTCGCCGTTCAAGTCCGCTGATACTGAGCGATATTTTAACATGGTTCCTGTCCTGTCCATCCTATGACTATTCGACTATTGGAGTAATACACGTAGGTTTTGATACTTGTCTTCTTTAATTATTGTCATAGGTAAACTGTTTATTAATAACATAAAAAATGTTTCTTTTAAAAACAAAGTGATGCTGCCCTTGGCCAAATCATTTAACCTTCAATAAACTTCTAACCTAAAAACTAAAGCTGATCACGCCGTGAGAAAATGACATTTTTTATATCTTAAACCATACACAAAGTACAAGATTTCTAACTCATAACATAATTATTAAATTTGGATGGCAATTTAACGAATCTTTTTCCAGCACTGGGAATGATAAAGCTTCCAATGTCAGAGTCAGAATGCGTACCATCTGTACCAGCTATTAATGAAACTTCTCTGAGCCTGAGATACTTTAAAGGTATTTCCATCATACAGATTATGCCTCAAATGAAATTTATTAAAAAACTATTTCGACGGACTTCCTGACCATTATCCTTTGGAGCAGTGTTTGACCTAGGAACAGACAAATTTTACCAACTGTGCCTGGTTGCCAAGTCCTACTCTCTTTTACATTTACCCTATCACCAACTCCAGAAGGATCCCTAGCTATAGTAGGCTTATCATAGTAG